TTGGGGGGGGGGGGGTCTTTGCTACAAATATTACTGTCAAACGCGTTTCATTACATTCTTTACAAAATGGCATTATTCGAAAATCAAGTCATGTGACTCATATTAATTATTTTAATTTTGGTATTCAATTTGAAGGACTTCTAAAACATCATGTATGGAATGTAATTGTTGACATCGAATTTGGTATGCTCTTCAAATGGTTAATTGTCATGCTATCCGCGAAATTTTAAGGTTAAGTGAACTATGTTCATTTAGAAAGTCTACGCATACGTAAATAGCATATGAGGTGTTTCTTTACAATATATTATTTCATCATCTTCGTTGGGGTATATACATATACATATGTGTACGCAAAATGTATAAAAGCGTTAAATCGAAAAGCAACTGCTATTGAACGGTGCAAAAATGTGACAAATTTGAAAGATTTTCTTACTCCCTGTATCTTGTCGTAATAAACGTATTTAACAAATTCAAATGTATAATAGTATCTTGCAAAATTTCAATTTTTCAAACGTTATTGCTTGTTATTACAGCAATCGAATGTGCACGCTGTGATTATAAAAATATAAACTTTGATACAATATTTAGAAATGAGATTTTAAAAAATAAGAATTCCCTGTCATTAAAAATGGAATATATAACTATGTAAAAACTAAGAGAATAGTTTTATCATTTAGGAATGGCGCCATAGAGTTACTAGAATTAACGTGTTAGAATGACAACATGAAAGGTTTAACTGTCACTACATGTAACGTAAAAATAGTAATGTAAATAATATTAGGGCAACGGACAATTGTTTGTAGAAATTATGAACCATTTTCTTGATACTTGTTTCGAAATATAAACAAGGGTATAAATATTAGCAATGTTTAAGTTGGAAACACTGTACAGCTCTCTGCTTCGGCAGCCATTTTAGGTAGTCGCTGAATCATACGTCTACGCGCCAATAATCAATTATGCATACTTCACATTATAATGCTACATGCTAAGAAATTAAAAAACTCTAAGCAGTACATTATTCAGAAATTATAAATAGTCTTATGGATATTGATAGATTTTAAAATTTATTTGAAGAAGTATTAAGTTAATAAGAATCAAGTAAGATAAATTTAGTTCAGACTGTGCATAGTAGAAAATATGAATTTTTAAACATATTTTCAAAATTGATTGGGCAGTGTTATAAAAACAATTACATTTATTTCCTTCAAATTTTGTAAGTATATTGTGAAGATAAAAAGACTAGTTTTGTGAAGGTATTAATTAATGGCAATCAAATGATATAAAATTACACGTTTCCGTAATTCT